CCGGCTGGTGGCCCCCCCGACAGCAAGGCAGTGCGCCCGGGGCCAGCAGTGCAGGGAGGTGTGCGGGGCTGCATCCCAGCTCCGAGGGGTGCCCGGTGCAGCCTCCGCCGGGGTCTTGCCCTGATGGAGCGTGACCCTCCATCTGGAAGCGACGCTGCATCGCCGAGGGCGGCTGCCAGGCGGTTCCCAACTCGACGGCTCACTCTCCGTTTCAGATCACTGTGTACGACCAAGAAAACTTCCAGGGCAAGAGGATGGAGTTCACTTCAGCCTGTCCAAACATCATGGAGTGCGGCTTCGACAACATCCGCTCGCTGAAGGTGGAGTGCGGCGCGTGAGTACCCGGCGGCCAGCGGGGGGGATGCTTCTCCAGGTGGGCTGGCGGGGCGAGGGGTGCCTGAGTGGGGAGCAGGGCTGTCCTTGCTCTGCTCAGCTGGGGGAAGCCAGGAATGCGGGATCCCAGCCAGCCCTGGGCAGGACAGACACAGACATAGTAGCAATGCCTTTGGCATCATCCAAAACCTCCTCCTGCAGCCTGGGAGCAGCCAGGTTTGGAGCTCGCTGGTGCCCTGCAGGGGTGCTACCCAAGGATGTGGCAAAGATCAGTGCTCAGCGAGTGCTCTTGAGCTCAGTCTGGTCCCCACCAGCCTGTGTAACCCCATGAAGCTCTGTGCTAAGAACCACTTTTTTTTGCCTCAGGGCCCAGCCCTGATCTGCCCTGTGCTCTCCCTGCTCCATGCAGCTCCCCAGGCCAGAGCAAAGCCTTCCTGCAGCCTGCACTGGGCTGCCCCAGATGCTGACAGGGGTAGGGAGCAGAGCCAGGCTTTTCCCTGAGCGTGGGAATCTTTCCTGGCACAGGCAAGACATCTCCCAGGCTGCTCCAAGGCTCTGTGTGTGAGGAGCACTCCCCAGGGCCAGCATCCTGCCGGGGCCAGGGAAGCAGACAGGATAGATTTGTGCTGCTATATTTAGGATTTGTAGCGCTAATGGGATTACAGAGGCATGCGTGCTCACGCTGTAATCAGCTCACTGCTCCAGTTGACATGTTCCTCATCAGGCTGGTCACCTTGCACTGGAGGAGGCTGACTGTGGGACATGAGATCAGGGCTCAGTTTTGGAGGGGCCCTCAACCACCACCCGCATTACCCCTTAGCACCTTGTGTACCCCAAAAGCAGGGGGCCCCTGGGCTGCACAGACTTTGCCATCCACCTTCTAGACTCCAGGCTCTGCATCCCCAGTTGGCCAATGGCTCTCCTACCCCGACTTGTTCTAAGAGAACATGCCCAGGAGAAATCCCCAGCCTGGGGAGAGGCAAGTTGTCCTCTGGACAGCACCAGGGCTTGCAAAATGTGTCCTGCAGGGTGGCAGCATCTCTCTCACCTCACCTGGTTTGTTTTCAGAGAACAGGGGGACCCAGAAAGGGGAAAGGCAACAGCTACCTGCCCTGCCTGCAGCCAGATGGGATCTACCTGGTTTGGGCATTAGGAATTCAGGTCTTTCCAGCTGGGCCAGGTTGCAATCGGGAAACAAGTCAGAAATGAGGCCTTTGGGAGAGAAGGGCAGCCAGGGTTGTCCCATGGCATCCCAACACTATCCCAACCAGAGAGCGCTAGGGGAAAGCGAGGCACCCTGGCAGGCTGGGCCTCTGGAGGGAGAAACCCACCACCCTCCACAGCAAGGGGAAGCTGGCTCTGCCCTGCAGCTGCCTCCCAGCCACCCTGTGTGGTTACACACTCCTCAGGTCCCCTGCTCACATCCAGCACCGCTTCCTTTCCTCCCGGACTTGTGGGCAGAGGCCAGACCCCAACCTCTTCCTCACACCTACCTCTGTGCCCCGGTGCCAGCCCCAAGCAGGAGGCCTGCAGCTGCAGCAGGAAACCCTGTCAGGCCTTGCACTGTTTTTGCAGCTGGGTCGGTTATGAGCACACCGGCTTCTGCGGGCAGCAGTTCATCCTGGAGAGGGGAGAATACCCGCGCTGGGACGCCTGGAGCGGCAGCAACGCCTACCACATCGAGCGCCTGATGTCCTTCCGCCCCGTCTGCTCTGCTGTGAGTGTCCTGCTCCCACAGGGATGTCCCTGCTCCCCTCAAAACACCCCAAGCAATAGCACCAGGTCAAGGCAGTGAGGTTAGAAAGGGCAAATAACAGCCACACCAGGCTCCCTGCGGGTGGTAGAGGATCCTCAGGGTGGGCTCAGCTTCTTCTCCCCATTCCCAGCAGGATTTGCTCTTTCTGTCCTGTTTTCTAAAACTTTAAAGGGAATTTTTGAGCCAGCTGTACGTGACCAGAGCCAAGGGACAGTCAGCCTGAGAGGGTAGCAGTGACAGAGCTGTCACCTCCCAGACCAACTCCTGCCCCATCCTAGCCCATCACCACCCTGCTGAGTACCTCCACACATCTGGGCTTTGGGAAAACTGGCTTCCTTCAAAAAAAGCAAACAGCCCCAGGCCTGAACACCTCCCTCTCCAGAAAACTCTCCAAGCAATGCCACGGGGATGGACAGCCATTGCCCCACTGCCCACCCACATCAGAGAGGGAGCACTGGCTCTCCCTCACCCTTGACTCTTCCCCCCCCCAGAATCACAAAGAATCCAAGATCACCCTCTTTGAGAAGGACAACTTCATCGGCCGCCAGTGGGAGATCAGTGACGATTACCCCTCGCTGCAGGCCATGGGCTGGGCCAACAACGAAGTGGGCTCCATGAAGATCCAGTGCGGCGCGTAAGTGACAGGCAAACGCCACGGGCAGCAGGGACAAACTGCTGCAGTGCCTGTGCTGCCAGAGCTGGAGGGGGGACACCCCGTAACCCCCTGACATACCTTTCACTGCTGCCTGACGACTCCTTTTCTTCCAGCTGGGTTTGCTACCAGTATCCCGGGTACCGTGGCTACCAGTATGTCCTGGAGTCCGACCACCACGGAGGAGATTACAAGCACTGGAGAGAGTGGGGTTCGCACGCCCAGACCTCCCAGATCCAATCCATCAGGCGTGTCCAGCAGTAGCTCCTCACTCTCCAGTACAACTCTGCAAGGTTTCCAAAGCTCACCGGCTCCCTTTTGGTGCTAATACTCCCCTCCTGAAATAACCACCCCTTATTGTACTGCAACTGCTTATGGAACAACACTCCCAAATGGTACCAACCGCCACAATTGCCAATAAATGTGACTGAAAGATAAACCAGCTTGGTGGGTGTTTGCTGTTGTGTGTTTGAGATTGAAGTCACAGATTCCCATCCCAGGAGCAGGAATCAGACTCTCCCCTGTCTGCTCTAAGCAGGGCCAAAGCCTGGTGGGGCTCACACCAAGGCAAATTCATCCCCAACTCTCTCAGGCGTGCAAACAGCAGGCAAGTCCTGGGTTGCTGAAGCTGCATGGCTTCCTCCCCTTCCCCAGTCAGGGTGAAGGTCACCTTGTCCTGGCCCCCCATCCCACCTCCCCACACCAGCACCGTGTCCCCACCTACCCACAGCCACGCTGTTCGTGTGCTTTGCTGCTGGGCCTGAGGAACCAAAAATCAAGTTGTCAGCCAGGCAGCATCCCCAGGGCCAAGGGATGCTCCCCAAAAGTGCAGAGAAGAAACTCACGCCGACACCCACAAACTTTAAAATTTTTATTCAACAATTTACATCACTTATTGTCTGTCTTAATGTATTTGATCTATACAATTTTTTTTTTTCCTGATAAAATAATAAAATTTGGATAAAGTTTTGAAGACCTGTTGGTGCAGAATAAACAAAATTTCAGGTAACTTCTTTTAATTTTTATTTTTTTTAAAACATTTAGTGTGAAGTATGACATCATTGGTAAAGATATATCATGCCATTACAGCTCATGGACATTACCTATCCTTACAGCCCGTGACAGCACCCATACCAGCGCAGGGGGCTGTGCCAGACACAGATACAGCAGGTATTACACTAACTCCTCTAACCAGCCTCTCACAACCAGGAAAATGCCTATGCTTTTCCAGCTGGGCACACAGAGTGCATTAAACTAATTGGAAATACCAGGGAGGGGAGAAGAAAACCAAAACTACCTTTACCCATCCCTGTGGTCGCACACGACGATGTGGACAACAAAGAGGGGCTGCCCCTCTCTGCAGGGCAGAGGTAATTCAGCTCCTGAGCAGGCAGAGCACAACCCCTTGCCATGGTTTTAACACACGCCAGGAAACTGAACGAAATGAGAACTTATCGACAGGGGCTGGAGGGTTTTCTCCAGCCCCAGCTTGTAGCTGAAGCGCACGGTTGTGTTTTGCACCGCCCTTAACACTGAAATATTCAGGGGAGGGGGAGAGAGGGACATCCATCCCCCCAGTAAACAAGTCGAGGACCCTCAGAGGCTCACAAGCCACTGAAGGTAAGTACACGTGTGATGGTAGATAGAAAAGCAGCCCTGTTCTGTATGAAAAAAAGCTGTCAAGTTAGTACAAATTTCTGCCATGGCAAAGGGAACAGGAGGAGGAAGCTGTCAGGGCCCTTCTCCTGTCTCAAAATCCCAACTCTCCTACACAAAGGTTCTGGGCTAAGCAACACGTTTCCAAAGGTGGTACCTGTAACCTCATGCATCAAACTCGTGAAAATAAAACCAAAATAAAGCTCTTGCCTGGAGACTGGTGGGCCATGAATGACAGCCCCCACAGTGGGGACAGTAAGGAAGCCTGTCCCTCCTGCCTCACAGTGGGAATACGCAACAGGAAGGTTTGCCTTAAGATTCATTTTTGTCATCAGAAGCCTCAAGTCTGCCCAGGTCACCAGCCTGCAACCCAGCAGACTGACCTCCATCCCCTCCCCAAAGCTGTTCCCTGTCCCCATCGCTGCCCGCGCACCCGGCAGGTGCCACCGCTGTGCTCCCCACCAGGGGAAAAAGGGCACTCGTTCATCCCACAGCACAAAGTGGATCTGAAACACAAGCCAGCACACCCCGCTCCCTCCCATTCAATTACTAAAGTAGGCTCTTTAAAATAAAAAAATAATATATATATTTATATAGCTATACAGAGAGATACAGAGAAAGCAAAGGAGAAAGAGGCTACTAAAAAAAATAATCAAGAAGCGCCAGTTTTCTGCTACAGCTGTCAGCAAAGAACTGTCACATCATACCCTCTGAGATGGTGAAGATAATGCAGGCAATGACAGCACAGGAATGCAAAAGAGGGCAGATAAGTCACTTCTGGTAATGAGACAAAAATTAAACTTTCAAAACATGTGCATAGCTTTATTCATCTGCTTCAAACTAACCTTTTCACGGAGCTTCAGTGAAACCCGAGTGTGCAAAATGCATTTCTAAAAAATAATGCAAGCAAGCTTTCACATTTACAGTGGCAGAAGTATGGAAAAGACTTGGACAGAAATCACATGTTGGGGTGAGTTGGGAGAGAGATGAAGAAACAAGAATTGCACAGCTTTGTATTCTGAGTCACTGACTGGAAACACAAGCATTTCTATTCCATTAACTTGAAGCAAGGCATGTTTACTTCTCCTTGACAAAAATAAATGAAAAAAACCCCACAGTAACAAGAACCACAAGCCAGAAGGGGAATAAACCCCCTGGGTAAGGGGGTCCCGGGCACTGCAGAGAGCTCTAACAGCAGAGCAAAGCCAGTTCCAGACCTTCCCTTGTTTTGGCTTTGCAGGCAAAACACAGCAATGCCCATTTCTGCCTGCAGGAGAACAGCAAAGCAGCTTCTCTTTCCTCCCTGCTCCCCTCCAAAATCACAGAAAACAGCTCGTGTTAGGAAAGGAAAGGTGCCACCCCACAGGACGTTGTCCCGAAACTGTAAGACAGACACTGGGCAGGCTCCAGTCCAAATCTTGTTCTGATCCGATGGGTCCCGGGGACAGTGCTGAGCCCTGGGCTGTAGATGGGGCACGGCCATCGTGCTGCTGGCCCAGCAGCTCACACACCACCACAAACTCTCTTCAGCAAGACTAAGCACACACACAAGGCACATTTAGTCAGATGTACACACACACGTGTGTGTGTAAAAGAGCAAATGCTGGCAAAAAAAAAATACAAACTAATTAAACAGGCAGAGTTCTGGCCTATGTGTTTCTATACTATTTTCCAGGCAGCTGAAATCCCCAAGAGTTTCTCCTACAACATTAGACCTTCCTTACTCTTCCCTCACTTTACAGAGGTACTTTATTTTCCTAAATGATCTCCTATAAATAGTCAAGTAAGTTCCCTTTGTTCCTCTCCAGTGAACTCCTCCCTCACAGAATGGATCCCGCGTGATGCTCCAGGTGTGACCCATGAAGACAAGAGGTTCTGGACCTGCCCGTGCCCCACAGCACCACCTCAACGCAGCAAAACCTCCCTAAGCCCTGGGCTTGCACACCTCAGCCATCAGGTTTCAGCTGGCATCACTTTTTCCTCAGAAAACATCCAACTCTGGGCACTGGTCACTTCCCAGCAGCTGAAGGAGTCTGCTGCTCCCCAGCACAGGGGACATGGTCAATCCCTAATACTGCAGGTTCACTTCACATTGAGATAAAGCATTGAAACGACCTTCTTACAGAGATGAGCAATTTCCTTCCAAAAGACAGATTCAAACAGAAAACAATAATATCAAAATCGGAGACAAGACAATAGTTGATTGAGATTCTTCTACCTTACAAGTTACTCAGGCATCTTTCCTGCACCACCAGCCCTGGAGGAAGGAGAAACTGACAACCTCAGGGATTTGCACTACCCTTCCAATAGCAGCTTGAGAAAAAGAAGGAGAGAAAACAAATAAAATGAAATAAAATTTATATTAAAAAAAAAGCACAGTGTTCTCTCAAGTTAAAGAGTTCTCCTTTGCTTGTGTTTGCATAGAAATTCCTGTAGGTCAGCACCAAAATCAGGTACCCCCCTCTCCTACACCCCAGCTCCCCCAGTTCCTACGGTCCCCGCAGAGTTAGTGGCTGTTCCAGGAGGGTTCAACTTATCCGCAGAGGAACTATATGGTCATGTAAAAAAATAACAAACCAAAAAAAACAGAAAGTGCATCACACATTCTTGATTTTTCAGGGTTACTTATAGCAGCAGCAGCATTAATCTAAGACAATGAACAGTTGTAGATTCATTCTTAAAATGCAGCAACACTTAATGAAATGTCTTCGAAGAAGGTCACAAGAGGGTCCTTCTCAAAAGGATAAAATGAAAATTAGACTATTCCAATACAGACAAAAAGGAGATAAAACAAAAATTAAAGACACCATCTTATTTACATTTAAAAAACATTCTTGTTAAAATATCTTTACAACACCTAAGCAAAAAAATATGGATTTTAAGAATAAAGCAGAAACTCCTAAAGCAGTATCCATTTTTGGAACCCTTATTTAGCACCTGAGGAAAGACTGTATGGAAAGCAGACAGGTTTGGTGTTGTTGTTTGTTTTTTTTTTAGTTTTTGTTTTGTTTTTTAAGAAAACTAAGTCCTGTTTTTGCTAAACGTTCATATGTTTGCAGTACACAAGTTTCATACCACAGAAAGAAATGAACTGGTTTGTTGTTTGTTTTTTTCTTCTTTTTAAAGATAGTCTACTCATTAATAAGGCTGTAGAAAAGGGATACTGCTATCTTACAAAATGGCTTTAGAGCTCTGGACACGTTACAAGAAGCTTTCTGGTTAACAGTCAAGAGAAATACAGCTCAGCAACCTCTGGCAGAAGTACAGGTAGGACTTTTACTCCTGTCCCAGGGCAGATCAGCCCGACACCCCCAGCAGCACCTCAGGGGTCTTGTGGCTCAACGCGAGGCCACCACAGAGCTCTCTGCACCTCCCTGATGTTTGCTGCTCCGGGGTCATGCTGCTGAGTGATGCCACTTTGGAGGACCTTGAGCAGGATCCAAGGAAGCCAGCCTGATCCCGTGGTGTGACAGGTATTGTGCAAATGTCTAAAGCTCTGTCACCTCTGGAAGGCAGCGAGTCCAGCAGCACAGACTGAGATCTTCTGCTCCTTTGCACCAGCCCAGGTTCCTGCTTCTCAACTTCTGGCTACAGGGTTTTTTTTTGCCTGGGAAAAATGCTCTCGTGATGTCCAAAGCTTGAATTACTCCAGCTTCTTCAGCTACTCCATCACACTAGAGCTCTTCCAGCCCCAGCCCTCCTCCTGCCTTATGCACCGATGTGAAATCATGTAGCAGCTTTAAATTAGGTGTAGCCTTGTTCTCTCCCCTCCTGACCTTGACC